GGGGGGGGTATAAAGATAACTTGGGGGGATATTACAAGATAACTTGGGGGAGAGTATTACAAGACAACTTAGGGGGGTATTACAGGATAACTTGGGGGAGTATTACAAAATACCTTGAGGGGATATGACAAGATAACTTGGGGAGTATTAAAAAATAACTTGGGGGATATTACAAGATAACTTGAGGAGTATTACAAAATAATTTGATTTCCAAAGCTATTTTCAGATTTGTCCATGGTGGGGCAAGAGAGGGTAAGAGGTACCATTTGGGGCAATTATTCATCAATTCATTTATTCATCAATTAAAAAAATAAATAATAACATTGTTTATTCAGCTCCTTGTCTCTTTATTTTACCATTGATTAATCTTTTAACTACTTATTTGTGTATTTATTTCTACAAATTTTTATTTACTTCTTTCGAATCAGATCACAAGTCCTCTCAAAGAGGGCCTCTATCATTTTCTACCTTAGTACTAGACTTTTGCTGCCTTCCTTAACTCCTTTACTCCTTGGGGTGATTAGCATCTATTTTCTCCACACAATAGTATCTCAGATTTACACATTAAGACCATGAGAATCGAGAAAATGATCACCAATAAAAGAAGCTGTTGATTGTAACTCAAATTCTCCTTGTCGGCACCTTGAAAAATGTAAGGAGAACAGTGTGGAGAAAACGCATGTTGATGTCTAAAGACTGTCGTCCATAAAGGCTCACTCCATCCTTACAGAACTCACTGTAGTAGAGGATATTTTAACCCTTTAACTCCCAAGATCTCATCAGTAATTCTTCTTACTGTCTGTCAACTGATTCTCATGATGTTAGATTGGAGAATTTGGTATCAGATCAATTAGTATAATCCCATAATTGATATTTTTCTTTATTCTCATCACTTGTCTGCATGATATTGTATAGATATAGTAAGGAGAAATTATGTCTTGGTCACTCTTGAAAGATGAAGGATGAAATTATTCATTTTCATTCTCCTCTTCACTACTGTTTTTAGTTATTATTTACTAAATCTCATCCACTCCCTGCGAAACGTAAAAACAGCTTTTTTCCAATTTTTTTACCATGTTTTAGAGGGACTTTTATCGCAGGTTTTAACTATTAAATTAAATCGATCGATTAAATTTATAGCTAAATTATTTTAATAAATTTAACGTTGTTATAGTTACGAAACATTTCTAGGACGCTTGATAAAAATATTTTGAAACATAGATGTCATATTTACTGGCCTCTGCAACGAACCGATTGGGCCTCTAAAGACATTTCTCCACCTAACGACTTGTACGTTGGTGCTTATGACATATTTGTACTTATCCCCATCGAGATAACATCATATTTTTTTGAGTATGCGCTAGACACAACAACCACAAATATAAAATTAATGTAACAGAGATATGCTACTTTATATTGTTGAGGAGGCTAACTTATTTCGTTCTGCTTCGAGGCTCATTTCAAGATTCGGGTGCATGTAAACGGCCGTATAGTATTAGAAAATTTATTATGTTTTTCTCGGCATTCCTTTTCAAAAGTACTCAAATGAAAAGAAGAAATTGTTCAACTCTTTTTTCGTTTTCAATAATTGCTTATTTTTCAAGAGCATGCTTAGTTTACAACGAAGGAAAGGAATGAGAATTTTCAATATATGGCCAAAAATCCCTGAAGTTTGATCCCAGTCTCCGCGCATTGTGTCCAATATTGTTTACATTCGGAAACGTCACGCTCACTCGAGGCTTTTGTGACGCTGGCTATTTGCATAAAATTTAAAACAAGATTTATTTACAACCTTACAGACCACGATTTAATCCTTTTATCAAAACAATCCCTACAGAGAGTTCGAGAAATCGAAAGCAATAAACTTTTATCGGGTTCTTACAAGAAAAAATTTTCCCCTACATTTAGAACCCGTGAGATATTTTCGCTATTTTGTCTGCCTACCTAATATCCTCTTGAACTTCCGTTTAAACTTATAATTTTCTTTCCCCCGAATAATCGCGTGGGCAGAATATATTTTAATCACTTTGATGCGAGAAAAGCAGAAAATAATCTTAAAATTCCCCCGAAGTGGGCGAACAATTGTACGAATCTACATTTAATGGAAAGAAAATGTAAATTTAAACAGATCACCTTACTTCGGATTTGCGTTGGATCAACAGAGTTATTGCGTTACAAGGCAAAAAACCCGGTATGTCATCATTGTCAGATTTCAATTCAAGGTAACGAAACTCCTCGGATCTCGTTTCTGGATTTCGGCGTTAGAAAGTAAAATGTTTCGGTTACTTCTTTCGTCAAATATAGACGAGAAAACTGGTTCAGATCGTAAGTTCTGGACACAACTCGCCGATAATTGCAAACAAATTGTAGACACAAATTGTAGACCCCAAGCTCCCCTCAAACACTGCTTCGAACGCCTTGCATTTTTTGCTCTTCAATGGAGGTTAAATGCCGCTTAAGAACCTTTCTCCGTTTATTATTTTACGTGGCATATTTTGATCAAATTGAAGTGTTCACGATTTAGGGAAAATCCCAGAAGCTGATGTGACAATAAGTATAAACACAACATGCTAAATTATTCGTGGAAAAATGCCATAACGTACGACATGTCCATTGTCATAGGCGAATTTGCCGAAACAAGTTTTGCTTTGTAAGCAATTTCTTAAAGAGGGGGAATCTAAAGGTGAACACTCGTAATTTTCGATTTTGAAGGGATTCGAATGGTAAATAATATAAAAAGCTACAACACAATTTTCTAAGAAAAATAATATCTAATTTACTTCTTAAGATAAAGGCAAATTTTAGGGGCAAAAAACTGAAACATTTCAGGATGTCACTATCGAGATTTTTCAAGTTCGAAACGCGGTTTCGATCGACTTTTGAAAGAACCTTTTGTCAAAATATTCACAACTCATTTACCTGATTAGCATATGTTTTTTATTTAAAGGAGAACGTTTTAATTGTAAAACAAGAAACACTGTAGCATTGCAATAAAGATTTCTAGGTGCGAGCAAGAGAAAAAGGGTATTTCGCTTAAGGGTGAAAGAATAAGTTGTTTACAAAAAAAATATTTCGGTGCGTACCCTTGCCTGAAATATATATTTACAAAAACAAGGCAAATATTCAAAGATTTCTCGCTTTGGTAGGAATAGCAACTTCACTAAACGCATGACAAAATCCTTCTGAATGTAATTAAAGACAAATAAACGAATAAAACGTTAATAACAAGGAGGTGTCATGAGTGAATTTTTTTATTTACTGGTCCTGGAAATGGCTTCACAAAACAGCCAACAACACGGATTAATTAATACATCCTGTTAATTCGTTCTAATTACAAAAATATGCAGTTTTCAAAGTTCAAGCCGGGTGGTTGTCTCAATATAACCGCAAATTAGAAACGTTCAAATTTAAGTCGTAAGCATAACCGAAAACGTAAATGGAAACAATATTTCAGTTTCGGCATGTTTCGGCAAACATTAAATCTGCGGAAACACAAATGTAGCAACAATATCAGGTAAAGCTAATGTCAGTTGTTATTTCGAAATAAGTATCGGCCGCAATTAAAAATATAACAGAGTTGATCATAAAGAAAGTTGGTCGATGAAAAAACTTTACAATCCGTAGTTTCATGAATTATTTAACTTAGAAACAGAGACGAACAAACTTGACGATCCATTACAGCCTGAGCTTGTTGCGTGATATTTTACTTTTGACGGAATTACTTGCATCTGCTGTGCTTCCTGAATGGAAAATCATTCATGAGCGAGCTCAATTCCTTGTTGGCTTGAGGTACAGAATAAATCATTACAGAAAAACATGATCTCCTTGAGTGAACACTCGTCGCTCATTCATCATTCTGAAAAACAGATTAAACCAAATAAATATCTTGCGCTGCACACGAAACGACATCGCGATACGAAATCCGCGAGTAAGCACAGAAGCTTCGAGAGCGCAATCACTCTTAGTCGCTCTCCGTCTTACAAATGAATTCAACAACAGATAAATAAAATGAATAAAATTTTCAGTAAGTACCTGAACTATCTTCTTCGTCGCTCAGTTCCTCAAAGGAATATTTCGGTTCGCTTCTCGACTTCTCCTTCGCTCTCCGTTCATCTGTGAAGGAATCGTACATCAACTTAGTATCAATTCGAAAATCGTTCTGTGCAGCGACCGCAACTTCAGATTCTTACCTTTCATGGGTGCATCAGGTGGCGAATTAGCCGTAGGCCTTGTCAAAAGGCAACCGAATGAAAAGGCAATGGCTTTAATTCTGTCCTCATCTGATTTCCCCTCCAACAGCTTCGCAACTTTGGGGTCCATTTCGTTTGATGAAAATCGATAGAGACTGGCGATACCGAGGCGGTAAAATGTTTTAATGCAAACGCTTGAGCAGGGAAAAATACCTGACACACTTGTGTCCGAAGGGAAATTTTTTACCTGAAACTTTCGACCAATCAGGTTAGGCCCCACGTGGGTCTCACAATTAAATGAAAGTGCTTACGAAGCATATAACTCGCGATCTAAAATATCTACCAATGGGAGACAGCCACTCCACCTGGCCGGAAAAAACCCTAGTGCAAGAAACTGAAAGCTATCAATTTAGACAACCTGAACAAAGGGGTTTCTGTATTGAAAATAATTTAGGTTTTCCGCAAGCATTTTGAATGACAGACGAAGTCAACAATCTTGATTACGATGACAATGGAAGCTGGTGCCATGGCGTTTACATTACCAAAAAAGGGAACGGTTTTGGCCAAGGTCGTCATGAGATAATGCTAAGTTTACAAAACAACGAGGATTAACCAAACAAAATCATTCACCACATCGACTCTAATAGAATTCCGCGCCGAAGTGGCACCATCTGAGCGACAGCTAATCAACCAAGAATAGAAAATGCATCAACAGCATCTTTGAAAATGCTTTCCAAGCACATATTTGACGCATTAATCATCTCGAAACTGCTTTGTTGGCGGGTTTTTTTGGAAAAGGCAACGTGCTTACGTTGCGAAAGTAAAAACCCGCCACAACAAATCAGCTGTATCATCCTGGGGGAATTCATTGGCGCTTGGCACGTGCAGAAGGCCAGCTGAAGGTTGACGGGTGCGTGTTCAGAAACAAATAATGCGTCAAATCACAGAGAGAGGAGAAAGTGACCACACAGCAGTTTACTTTAATTTCCATGCTACGATTCTAAACCCGCCACAAGCGACGCATGAAGTTCGGTAAACGGAGACAACATGACCCCTGCGCAATTTTCACCGTCTTTTAACAGTGTGTTCTTATGGTTGTTACAAGAATCAGTGATGGAGAGATTCTAAATTTTGCGTCTAAAGTATTTCGAACATAGATCACAGGGGTAAGTCCCACGATCGATTGCGTGGCAACCGAACTACACCATGTTCCGCCCTTGAAATCGACACATGCTGTGAAAACCACAAGGATCGTGAACACGTAGCTCAAAAACATGGACATACTCCAAACGCGTTTTGCGTTTTTCTGCGGTGAAACCAAGGTAAGTGGAATCGGTTTTTTTAATCGCGTGCTTAACTTTCCCTGAAAGACAACTAGGATTGTGACTAGGTGCGTCGCATTTCAGAATCCATGCATGTCCATGCACATCATTGATATTTGATTCGTATTTTCTCTTCATTAGGGGATTTCAGCGCAGCAAAGTCTCTACTTCTAAGGTAAGAAACGCGTCTTTTTTTTTTATCCAGTCAGCACATTTTGTGATCTGTCAATCATCCGAACTGAACGTGGTTTCCCTCGTTAAAAATAATATATAAATCTGTAATTCGCTTTCAAATTCTTAACTCTAGCGGTGCTAGAATCAAAACAAGCGTTACTATAACAAAGTGCGCGATAGTTTTAATTTTCAAACGGAACTTTTTAACGAACGAATCTTACTGCACAATATGTCAGGAAAAGGGAGACCGACTCCAAATTCGCCTAAAGACCCTACAATTCCGCCGAAACCTCCTCAACCAGCGCCACGTAAAGGTAGATGTAATTATTGACATGGATGCTTGATTATTACATGTGTAAAAGGGTCGCTTTTCTATCTCCGTTTTGACGCGATGCATTACACGTTGGTGATACGCAAGTTGTGTTCAATAAGTTGATATCTAGTTAAAACTTTCCATTTCTTTTCACAGGATATTGCGAATACTGCGTCGTACAATGACGTTAAAAGGTAAACGCATTTTTATATTTCAAGTGTACGAAATGCAATGATGCAATTCGTTCGACTTACATAAATTGCGCATCAGCGCACAAGCTTTTGATCATTTCCAAACCAATTTACGTCAATTAACGATGAAAAACTCATTCGGAGAAGGCTGAAAATTATTGCGCAAAGGAACTTTGTCTCAACATGCTTTAGTAAGCACTTTTTTTTGCCACGCCATGGGAAAAGTTCTCACAATAAAGCTGTCAATCATTTACAGATATTGACTTGGCTGCGTCGCGCATATAAACGCAGAAGAGAGTCATTCGAAGTAAAAGTTGTGCGTTAACCTCTTACTTCCCAGAGGCTTAAAACTTAGTATCAAATATGCCTTACGGTACTTCTGGAGCAAGTGGATATCCAACTTCTGACGCGGAGTATCCTACAGAGGGACATTATCAAGACAGAGATCACTGTTGTAACTGTTCCTGTAAGTAATCTTATCGTTGCATCACACTTTCGACTTGAATCTTCTAATGTATTTTTTCTATATTCTTTTTCAGCGTGTTGCACAATTCTCTGACACAAGAGACGAGGTAAGAATTTTGTGTTGTTAAAGCTGCTAAACACAAGAAGCTTTAATATGAATGATTCCCGCAGCAGAACTTTTTCCCAAGTGACTTTGGGGTGTTTTGAGTAAAAAGTTCGAATTTTGAGCCAAACCTGGTGAACATTTTCGACTTCAATTCGATGCAAATTATCTGTTCTCTATCAAGTTAAGAGCCTACTACACTATCGTCAAACATACGCGCAAATTTTGTGGAAATTGTATGCGTTTTCCCATCGTAATCTTTCGTAGTAAAACCAATTTATTAATTCAAAAGAGTGCGCAAAGCTAGTGTCCTACATTCATTAAGCTTTATGATTCTACATTTCTTAAATCATGTAAACATTCTTGTTCTACATGAGAGCGCGTTTTTTTTTTCTTTGAAAAATCAGGTCGATGATTCCGAGTTCGTTTATCGTTTATATAATATGGCCGATTCAGGTGCGTGATTCATACAAAAATAGTCTTGAGAGAACCAAGCTTGAGGAATTCGTTGCAAAAACCTAAAAGCATGACTGAAAACCATGTACATGTACTGTAAAAATGGTTCATTACAAAATGCAACAGCCGTAGATCTTAATGTTTGTTGTTCGCGTAAATATGAGGAAGTGCCTATTCAGCAAATCTGAGAGCCAATCAGAAAATGACACCACGGTGGACATAATCCGCCCACAGACGTCATAAAAAACTGGTGCACGCTAGATTGGCGCGAGTTATCGAGGCGAAATCGGTCGTGTTAGCATCGAAAGTACATAGAGAGTTCTAGGTATGCCTGAAAAGTCAGAATCGACAGGAAACTTGAACGAAGACATAGGATTTGTCATGAAGGCAGGATCCTCAGGAAATACAACCAGAGACAAAGGATGGTGTAAGTCTCGACAGTAAAACGTATTCGCTTTCTCTTTTGAGAAACTTACTTTCTTTCTTTGGCTTTTTCAGGTTCGTGCATAATCTTGTGACATTAAGGTAAGCTTGAGTTAGTTTATATGCTACTGCCGCACACAATGACTTAGTCTTACGCCTTCTCCTGATATTTAACAACACACATGATATACGCTACAAGAAACAAAATGAGTAAAGGATATGTATTTCTAATGAAACTGTGGTGCAGCGTTAGTTAGAGAGTATAACAGGGTAATTTAGTGTTATAAACTGAGTTGATAACGTAAATTGGCCACCGTAAAGAGTAAGAGGGCTGACGTTTCGAGCTTTAACCCTTCGTCAAGGCGACAGAAGGAGAACTCTTCGTAAGAGCGATGAAAGAAACATGGCGACAACAGCCAGGAGAAAAAAATGCTCAAAAGCAGAAACTCTAAACAGAAATGTTCGAACGTTGCGTCCAAAAACGGGAAAAATAACTAAATGTCTGTTTTATTACTGCGTCATTTCAGCATTTGTCTTTCGATCGCTAACATCTTTTGCGTCTATGTTTCAGACTATATGACGACCATGGCGACGACTGTGTACTGCTGTAAAAGGTAAATTTTTTACATCCTTACTAAATTGACGTAAAATCGCTCTGAAATTCTTGTCTTTACCTGTCTTGTAATTTGCGTATCAAGCTAGATACATTTCAACTCGCTTTAAAGAATTGTCAGCAGATTAGGGAATTTGCCAGTGTTGATCCTCGGTTGAAAAATAAATAATTGTTACAATGCTTCATGCACAATGTGAAAGTATATATTCGCGCGCAATTGTCTTGCAATAGACGAGGACTTCAGAAATAATGCTAGCTATTCTCGTTTCCTGACCAACACGATTTATAACATTAAAGTCTGTAGTGCTAAAACTTACAGAATATTAATCTGCTTGTCTTGCCTTTCAGACCCCGAAGATCACGCTATTTGGAAGAGAACTAATGAAGCCCTTCGTCACGAGGACTGATGTGTTTCTCCCTGTTAAAAATTCTGGAGTTAATTACAGTTAGGACACGTTGCGCATCGACTACAATATATTTTACTCGTATAAGGAGTTAGAAATTGAGTTTTTTAGAATTTTTTCACATATTATGGAAATTTTCGGCTAAGTGCTGTTTATTTGACCCGAGTTTGATGACAAAGCGATGTAAAATTTGAGTTATAAATTTACTCGTGTGTGGCGCACGTCAGGAACCGATGTAAAAGAGATGGAGTTAATAAACGAAGAAAGTAACATGAGCTGTGTGACATTAATCTAAGGGAAAATTTTGGGTGATTTTAAAACAACACTGAATGACCCTTAAATTCCCAAGGCATTCTTAATGATGATATAAAATGCCAATGTCTCAAAGAGGGTTTCTCGCGGCAAAACCATAAATTAAAGGGACTACATTCTGAAAATTTGAACATGGGTGAATAGACACTTGAATAATGAGCTCATTGAAATCAACCGATGAAGCAGTAAACGCGAAATTTGGTAAATCGAAATAGTAAATTTCGACTAAACGACTGTGGAAATTATTGCGCGCCAAGCATGAGGCTAGAAATAGTCTGAACATAAAGATGAATTGACATCTCTTCAACCCTTGAGCGCGCTTTCATGATAATTTTCCTGATGACGAAAGCACCTTTACTAAACCAAACCCACCAATAACTGTGCAAATTGGATTTCAAAACAAACATTGGAAAGCGCTTCGCTAGCGTTTCACCAAATGCTTTGTAAGCACAATTCAACTCATGATAATTTTCCTGATGACGAAAGCACCTTTACTGAACCAACCCCCACCCCCAATAACTGTGCAAATTGGATTTCAAAACAAACATTGGAAAGCGCTTCGCTAGCGTTTCACCAAATGCTTTGTAAGCACAATTCAACTTGCGATTTCAAGTAACAACATGAAGACCACAAGCGTGCTTATTGGTAATCCCAAAATAACCCCAATGTGAATGCGTATTTTCATATGCCTGCTGAGTGAATTTCAAACACTTTTGATAACTTCCTGCGTCCAAAGGTCGCCAGAAACGGAGAGTAGAAAATATTAATGCTATCATCAACAAAACAAAGTGCGCTAGTATTTGGCTTCTACATCATAGCTAGAAAAGCAGATCGACTTTATTATTTACCAAACGTATGTTACTTAATCGTGCAATTCTTCAGACGTAGCCGGCTATCTTTTGACCTGAAACAAACCGATTTAAAGCATATCAGATAAGAAAAGCGCCAAGCTAGCATTTCGCCAAATGCAATGTAAGCAAATTATCAACATGCGAATTCTAAGAAACGATTTGAAACCACATGCGCGCACGTCAGTTATCCAAAAATAGCCGTTTCCGAGTGCCTGATTGATTGATTGTGCGATGATTTCCGAGGCGGGAAGATGTTGGAAAATTTTACCTAGCGCAAGAATCGTCCTTTGACCTGTTGAAATATAATATTTCAGACAAGCCAAGCATGATTTGGGAAAGAAACTTTGTTTCACAATGCTTAGTAAGCATGCTTGGTAAGCAGTTTGCTCAGCCATGTCTGCGGTTAAATTTGGCAGCTGTCGTGATGAGACATGTTATACTTCAGTTTCGGTACGTCTCGCTATAAAAACACTGATCTGGTGTCAGCGGAAGTTCAGTTGTGCGTCTACTTCAACTGGTCGCTGTGAGTCAATTTGCGCGTGAGCCGTCAAAGATTATGTCGGGAAGACCTACACCAAATCCCCCTCCAGATCCGCCACCACCGTCTCCGCCACGACCGTCTTCGCCAAATGACGGTGGCTGTATTCTATTTTTCTTCTAGCCACTCAGTATGAAATGTTCGTATTCGAGGTTTGTCGCAAATTTTCGCATGACGTGTCACAGTAATATTACTACTCAATGAATTTGTTTTGACGTTCCCCTTGAACGGTTAGAAATAACCTCGGTCAGCAAAATCTGTTTGTTGAATGCAAGTAATCGTAGATACGATCTCTGTCTTAGAATGCGCCACGTATGTTAAAACATATTACAAAAGAGGTAGAAGAAACCTAGCTTACGCATCATTGTGATCGATCGTTCGCGCTGTCAAGAGGAAGGGACGAGTTGACGAGCCACTGTCTCCCCATCAGATAAACCCATCTCTCTAAAATGCCCGGAAGGTCCAAAGCAACAGCTAATGCTGTCCGCGACGCAAGTTATAGATGCATAAAACAAGTCGAAAGCTCTGCCAGAGCTCTTCACAGATGCATACCCAATTCTCAGCCCGCGGTACAACGCTGTCGTGCAATGTTGCGAAGAACTGATCGAAGTAAACCATCATTAGCATGCTACATCGTTTGCAAGTCATTTTTCTTCTTATATTTTGACATGTTTTAATTCTATTTCAGGCTGGTGGGCGTCCTGCGCTATACTGTAACAAGGTGAGTTTCATTTGTATTAATTTCTTCCACATCGAAAGCGAATCGTTTAATATTACGATGCTATCCTCATTATCCCAACTAACATGATCCTGCCCGTGGTTAAGACAGCACTATTAAGGTTAAGCCCATAAATGCGCAACAAAATTTCAACAAACGGAATACATTATGTCCTATTAATACCTAACTGCAAAGTATTTGATAAGCTCATGTTGGTTTGTTTGAAAGGTCGAAATGAAGTGAAGAGCCGTTGCGCAGTTGAAAATTGAAAACCACGTCACTGAGCAAAATATTGCAAAATATCAGTGGCAACTCGCCATATAAGCTAGAAATACTTCAGCAAAGTTGATCATCAATCACCAAATTGCAAGATACTGGTTGTAAAATGACAAAAAAGTTAGGTAGCCGAAGAGCTTGGCAGCGTTAATGACATTGCGGAAGAAAAACATTTGTGGGCGAAAGAGTGCATAACAATTAATTTTGAAATGTCAATCAAAGTCACAGGGGCGAAAAAGCGCGCGAAAAAACTATAGAAAAGCGTGAGACGGTTAGTTGTGGTACCATTGTGGAAAGAATGCCCAGAGCAGGAGCGACCGGTAATTCTACTCGCGATGCGAGTTACAAGAAGAAGAATACTGGAAGAAAAAAGAAACCAGGGGAAGGAGCTGTTCAAAAGAAAACAAAAATCCAAAACAAACGTAAAGCACCACAAGCGGGCAACACTGGAAGCAAAAAGAAACAAAGGCGCGCAACGACTCCACAGAACTCTGTGATGGTTATTCGTGATACCATAGAAAGAATGCTCAGAGCAGGAGCGAAGAAGAACACTGGAAGAAAAAAGAAACCAGCGGAAGGAGCTGTTCAAAAGAAAACCAAAATCCAAAAGAAACGTTAGGCGCCACAAGCGAATCAAAGTCGCAGTAAAAGTCGCGCCAAAAGTAAATACCGAACTTAGGCATGTTCTTCTCCTACGCTGATCTTCTTGCCTTTGTATTTCAGGTTGATGCAACAGTCAATGAAAGGTATGTTTGTACGTTTTTTTTCTCGAAAATCGCGGATTCCCGAAATGAGCTAGATTCACTTCAACTCACTTGAGAGAACTGTCAGCAAACTAGACAATTTCTGAGTGTTGATCCTCAGTTGAAGAAAAACCGAATCGTTTAAACTCTTCATGCACACTGTGAAAATAGTCCATTTTACAGTTGCGTGCTTGGTTGCTAAGCCTTTGAACGGAAGTGAGGCTAAGGTTTACCTCGATATGATACAAACGTCGCTGCTTTTCAAATGTAAATTACCTTGTTATCACGGTCACTAGAAATTGTTCTCTATCACAACATGGTCACCTTCAGCCTCACTCCAAATCAAAGGCTTGGCCACTAAGTACACAACTGTAAAATGGCCTATTAACATTCGCGCGCAGTTGTCTTGGCATGGACGAAGACTTCAGAAATAATTCTAGCTACCCTCAAACATAATCGACACCGGTTTATTACATTCGTGAAATCTGCAGTATTGAACCTTTCAGAATATTAATCACCTTGTCTTGCCTTTCAGACTCCAAAGATGAGCTTTTTGGAAGAGAACTAATGAAGCCCTTCACAAGGACTGATGTGTTCCTTATTCTCAAGTTTCTGGAATTATCTACAGTTTGGAAACGTTGCACACCTTTGATAGACTGTTTTATTCTTATTAAGTAAATGGTTGTAGGTTACTGATCTTTGTAAGTTTGAGAAAGTTTTCGGTTTAAGAGTACAGTGCATGAAATGCTTAGTTTTTGGTTGAGTTTGTTACTTCGATTGAATTTGCGGATTTTTTCAAGTACTCTGCGATTTTTTACATTTTTTGGCTTAGCGCTGTTTTATTTTACTTGATAAGAAAGCGATGTAATGCTTCAGTTACAAATTCGCTCGTGGATGGCGCAAAAATGTAGAGGACTTAGAGGAGATAGAGGCAATAAACTTGACATAGAAAGTGACTTGAGCTGTGTTTATGTTCATTTGATGTAATCAGTACTTCCAAGTCTGATACCCCAAGTTCAAAAACCCTCATAAAAAAATCCTTTCCAATGATAAACAAGGCATTTAGCTCAGGAGAAATGTTGGGAAATTTTAAGGCAAAAATGAATGGCCCTTACATGTCCAAGACATTCAAAATGATGGCATAGAATGCAAAATGTCTCAATTGGGGTTCCCCGCGGGAAAATCATAAATCAAAGGGATTACATTTTGAAAATTTGAACATGGATGAATAGAAACTTCAGTAAAAAGCTCTTTGTAATCATC